GAAACGAGGTTCAGAGCGTCCTGCGTGTTGTGGCGTATTCAGCGTCGCGATCCTGCACCGCGTCCCAGGGATGCGGCGGGCACCTCAGACTAACCTTGAAAGTCATATGGTGTCCCGCGGGAGCAATCGCGTCTTCGTTCCATGAGATCCGGCGCCCGAAGCCTGCCACGCTTATGACCATGAGGGTGATCTGCGTACGACCAGTGCACACGTTAGCCGTGGTCGCGTGCAAGCACTAACCCTCGGGGACATACCGGGACTGTGAGCTCGGTAGCGTTGCTGACCTCGACCACATCCTTGTCGCCCCAGACGCTGTCGAACAGATCTTGCATGATGTGCACCGTCTCATCCCACACGAGCCTGTTGTTCTTCTGATGACACGCGGTTTGAGCGGTGAGTCGGTGTGCGCGGGAAGGCAGGGAAGGAGTCAAGGACCATCTTACCTCCGAGAATGCCGGAGCCACGAGCTTGCGTTGACGCTTCCACTCTTCTCCTTCGGAGGCGACGAGATTTGGGCCAAACGCGAGCAGGATCTTGTACGGCCCCATCGGCTTGGGGAACCGCGACCGCGCCCCGACGACGTCCTGTGCGAGGTGAAGTATGGGCTTCGCGAGCGTCCCTCATGCTACGCACCTTGACCACGGCCGGGTCTGCCAGATATAGCGTGACCTCGCTCGAAGGGAGAAAGTTGACCTGTGTGGTGATGTCTTGACATGGAACGCAACCTGAATTGTGCATGAGACTCACGCCTGACATGATGTCCCATCCCGCCTCTTCGAAGTCCTTGTACTTCCTGTACAGGTTCACCTCGGATTGTAATCCCGGAGAGATGCCCTTGACACGGAATGGAAACCAGACGAAGCGGTCGCTGAACAGCGTTCGAAATCCTGGAAGGTTACTGGCGCAGCGCAGCTGCTGTCAGCGCATCGCTGCTCAAGAAGGGATACGACGCTACTTACTTCACAGATTGCGCGGCCCGCCTGAAGTCGATAAACTTCCGCAGCAGGAACACCGCGAGCAAGAGGAGCGCAAGCGTGAGCCCTTGAGAGCTCGAGCCTTCGGACATGGTGCTCCCCCTGACGTCCGGGAGATTGAGCGCGAGTGGAGAGGAAGCGCGAGCCTCGAGGCACACGAGTGGCCTGGGAGCTGCTGGGAAAGAGAACGCGTGCGAGCGAACACATCCGTGCGCTTTAATATACGACGCAGCTGCCCCGCCCGGCGGCGTGCTCGGAGTGGGCTGTGGACCCGGACTGCTGGCAGAGTCTTGCCTGCTAGCTGCTGTGCATGGGGGCGACGTGGGCGAAAGGAGCTGCCATCGGGGCCCCGCAGTGCGCCATCAGCTTCTGCGAACCTTGTTCAACTTGCGCTGCGCGCGCGGGATGAGAGAGCCTGTGCCTGGACGTTCGTTCGCTCGCTTACTCCGGCAACTGTCAATCAGTAATTGTCCTTGAATTGTCCCGCCTTGTCTTCGCCACACGCGACGTGTGAGAACGCCCAACCATTGCGAGCGAGAATGAACGACATCGTGCAATCGAGGTCGGACTCATTGGCAACATGTTACCTTGAGAAACCCGTCACTCACGATAGAACCGCCACAAATCGTAGTCGTGCATCGCCTTCATGCGTGCTGTCCCAATGCCGCTCTACATATACTGTACCCGGGCCTGGCAGGGGCCAGAAGCAGACGTCGGCGATCCCAAGTGATCACCGGCGTTTGAACACCAGCGGTGCGCGCTCGGGGCTATCCATTGCGAAGAACTCGGTCAGGACCTGACCATGTGAGAGGAATGACGTAGGGCACGCACTACACCGTGAACCTCACGTTCGTCTTGAGGACACGGGCCTTCTTCTGCTCGATAGTCTCGCCCGCGAATTGCGGCTCCTCCTTGATATCGATCTGTACTGCGAGACGAGCAGCGTGAGCACCGCGACGGCCTCGGTCTCCGCAAAGCTGTCGAAGGGACCGTGTGAGACGCGCTGCCCGCAAGGAAGCGAAGGAGATATGGTTTACCCTCGACCGATGCACGCTCGGGGTCCCCCGCTGAATGGGAGGAACACCTCACGAGGCCAGTTTCCAGGAAACGTGAGGGTTTGAAGGACGTGGGGTCGTCCCAGTACCGTGCTGTCGAAACAAGATCCAACATGAGCGCTGAGCGAGAACTGGCCCTCGAGATCGAATCACGTACGGTTGTAGTGCAGCGCAGGAGTACACAAGACGATGCGTGTGTCTTTCGGGACTGGGACGGTTGTCTTCTGCCCGGATGTGTTCGAGAACGTGAAGGATGTGTCTTCCGCCGCTATCTTCGGGATCCCGATTACCTGCGGCGCATAGACGTCAGCGCGCCCTTGTTAGTAAGTGAGCTGAGCGCAAGCTAACAGGAGGGAACAGCCGGAGAGTCTCGTGAAAGACGCTGTGCGAGGAGTCAGCACTGTGATCGCAGAGGAGGAAGGATGCTACCAACGCCATGGAGTATTTCAGAGAGCTCAAGTCATCATATGTCTGTGAGCAAGCGTTGTTAAGATGGCGGAGCGACATTCGTACGGCATGAGGGGCATACCGGAGCTCTACCGTCTCCAAGGACAACCTTGATGTTCTGGTACAACAGCTCCTGCTCATCCTGGTAGAGCGCAAGGAGAATCAGCGCATACGCAAGTGTGTGCGCAGTCGTCTGCAGATGCGACATAGTCAGCTACTACCCATCTAACAACTCTGACAGCTCCGTACCTCGTAGCCCGCCAATAGGAAGATGAAGATATTGCCTGCGAACGGATATGCTCAGGATCTGGCTGAGCGTGATCGCACAAACACGTACCCATGAGCGCACTGTCCGAGAGTTTTGCCGCCTGCTCGAGCTCAGCGTCATTCGCATCCAAGAGGCTGTTGAACAGGTCGCTCCGCTCTTCCTTGCTTTCAGCGGTACGCCGCGCCTGCACCATCTCGGCCATATATTTCTGTTCGTATTCGGATGTCACGCAACCGTGAGCGTAACGAAAACATGACGCAGAAGTCTTACTTACCTGGATATCCGTGTACGCCTGGTAGAAGCGTCGCATCCCGGAGGTTCCCCAGCGCAGCGCCCAGTCGGGGAAGATGAGCTTGTAGAACAGCTTCTGGCCAATGACATCGAGCGCGTCCTTGAACGTCATCGCGTGCCCAGGAGGAGCCACCGCGCTCTCCTTCCACGAGACGCTCCGCCCAAATCCCGCAGACCCAATTACGAAGAGCGTCAGCTACAGCGATGGTAAGGGTGGAAGCCGTCAGCACCATCGACCGACTGTCAGACTCCGCGAAGCGGGACACCCACCGGCACAGTGACGTCCAAGACATGGTCGATCTCGACGACGTCCCTCCCCTGCCACACGCTCTCCACGAGATCCTGCACGATGCGCGCCGTCTCGTCCCACACGAGCCGGTTGTTCCTCTCCGAGAACGCGGGCGCGACGAGCCTGCGCTGGTGCCTCCACTCGTCGCCCTCGGAGACGAGGATGTTCGGCCCGAAGATGGAGAGGATGCGGTAGAAGTCGACCGGCTTGGGGAAGCGTGCGCGCGCGCTCGTCACCTCCTTCGCGACTGCGGCGTCGGCGACGTAGTACGTCAGGACGTTCGACGTGTTGACCTGCGGTTGACTTTGTTAAGCGCGATATGCGACTGAGAGAGAGTCGTAACCTGCGGACTGACCGCCGAAAGGACATCCCAGCCCGCCTGCTCGAAATAGGCGTGTTTGCTGATGAACGCGAAGTTGAAGCCAGGGGTGATGCCGCGGATATGTCGGGAAAAAAGGACGAAGCGGTCGCTGAACAGTGTTCGGAATCCAGGGTGGTTACTGCGTGGATGCCAGACGTAAGCGTGAATATCCAAAGAGCTAACAAGGTACGCCAGAAAGGCAATATTTTGATGACGTACTTGATGGTTCTGGTCAAGCGCCGGAAGTTCAGTATCTTCTGGGCGGCAAAGGAGAGGGCGATGATGCGAAGGCGAGTAGGTAGTCCATGACCGAGGGATGATCGATGATCGATGGTCTCTGCTGTGGTTAGAATGGGTCGACGAGGTCGGCGTATAGGAATATTGGTGGCAGCTCTTGCATCGTACTGTCCTTATAACAGTGTGAGGCCTCACGCAGTGTATGGCACGGAGCATATGACCGTACCGTGCTGATCCGAGTGGGATGGGCGCGCCGCGGGTGACAGAACATGCTGAGGCGTCCTTTAACATTCCGGTCACACTAGGGGGTAGAGCCTGAGTGCTGTGACTCTGCAGGGATGGTGCGTGTCTCGCATTGACAGATCTAAGGGACTGGAACTCGAAGTCAGGACCCAATGCGCGGTAAGTAGCGACCACGGCACACGCAGACGCACTTGGCAGCATATAGTCACCTCGTGCGGGCAGCTCGCATACCAGATTATGTAGAACGCGCTCCGGGCGATCACCCAGCGGCCACTCCAAAGGCAAGGAGATGCCTGCAACAGACAGGTTCTCTCCCCTAGGCAGTCCCGGGACTTGGGACAGGTTAATGGTGCGTGTAACATCGAGGAGGTTATACACTCACTCACACTTCCGGTCCGGAGGTAGCAGTACAGATATGTACGTCACAAGCGGCCGCGTGAGGGTCGAGTAGAAGGGACGAGTGGTGGTAGCCCAAACTGATGAACTCGCGAGACGAGACGAAGTCGTGCGCGGAAAGTCTTCAGACTCGGACAAGCGTAGAGATTCATCCAAAGCCACCAAAGTATGCGGTGGCATGCATGTCGCATTCTAGGAAGGCGTTCGCCCATCCAGCAGGACCGGACGTCTCGGTGGGTCCTGTGTTCAAATTCGACGTCGGAAGCAAGCAAGAGATCTCTCGCAGGCGCCCACCACTACCGACAGCTCTTTTGATTTGGCCCTTGACTATGAGTGCATGTGAAGCGTCTCTGGCCCCCAAAAGTATTGTACTCGTAGATGCGGAGGAGTGGAACGAAGCAAGAAAGAACAAAAAAAACATCACATTTACACACGGCTATAGCAACTCCTGGTTTCGATCCAGGGACTTCAGGGTTCCAATTCGGACCGTCCGTTATGAGCCCTGCACGCTTCCACTGCGTCAAGTTGCTATGCATGCTCAGATCTTACGAGGTTATAACAATGCATGACCAATCGCCTATCTGAAGAACGCTGGACACTTTCGTGCACATCCGCGACGAAGCGGCGGCTCTCGGTGTCGGAGACTCACAGTACTGGATGTTCTTGGCGACGGCCATGACGGGGCGGTTGTCCAGATTCGATTGTCCGCGTCGTCCTCACCGTGATGGCATAACGTTGTGTTCAAAGTACACCTCGATCGGCCCTCGCGCTCTACGACTTGTCGGATTGTGGCCCTGGGCTGCCTAGAGGAGACAACCTCCGACGCTCGCGCCGCTGCGACGAATCTTCAAAGTGGCAGGCCCTCAGGCTGGCGAGTAGACACATCGGGGATCCTCGATCCTCGTCTTGCAAGTAGTGCACGGGGACCACCACTACTGGCATCATCGCCGCCTCCAGTTATATAGCCACGCGCACTCACACAGATAATCCTGCGGAGCTCTTGCACCAACTGTCAACAGCCTGAGGATCACTCGTGCATTGTGCGGGCAACAAGACCCATATAAATATGCGCGGTTGCTTCCGCACTTCCGTAGATCTCTTGACTCTGAGGGCGATCGCAGTCGACCACCGCGTCACCGTCGAGTCCGACGCGGACTCCCGCCGTCTTGGCCTGGCAGATATTAGGTACATCGTTCGGCCCGTTTCTGGAGTTCTTGCGCAGCTACTGAGTTCTTGCGCAGCTACTTACCCTCGGGTCGCGTTGGCCGTCCGTGTCGAGAATCCCTCCGCTCAGTGCGCCGTGCGCGGGCCGGGTGTCGCGCAGCCCGACAGGGAGTGTTCAAGTTGGTGCATACCGGACCCCGGTCTTCAGTATCAGGGTCGATGACGAGTGGGAACAAGGCACGTCCTCGAACTTCGAAGGTCTGCATCGCCGCCCGGGTCATGCTGGAGGTGTTCATGACTTTGCAGTACGTCCGAATGCTCGCTTACCTTGCGACTTGCAGCGTGCACTCACCATTGGTTGTTCGCAGGGATCTCTTCCCGCTCTTGTACTCGAGCCGGTTCACCTCATGGACTATGGCACCGAGTCCGATGCGCGTGCAGCTGGCGTTCCTCCGTGGAGACGAAGCCTAACCTAGGTGTACGGAGAACGGACCAGTCTCCGCATCGCCCTCCGCTGCAGAGTTGCGGAGGAATTTTCGCAATGCACTCTACCCCGGATGTCGGTTGTCGTCCCCGGTGTAGTGCCGCGTGCTGCTTGCGGTGTACGGCAGTGCCTCTCATGAGAAGCCTGTAGCCCAGGCACGATCGCTATGGCGTCGCTGGCCAATCCCACGACCATGGTACGCTCCACTCACCGCTCGCACAACGTGCAGCCTCGACCGATACTCCCGGCCCTACTGGGATGTGAGTTCCTCGAACCCTTTTTTCTTTGCAAATTCTCTGCCCTCCTTGGCCTCGACGATGTCGCGTCATGATCTCGACGAGGCGATGCGGACACTGCTGAGAGACTCGGTAAGGTGATCCTTGTTAGCTAGCCGTGCGGTTCTGAAAACTTGGATCAACGGGACCAAGCGGTATGCAGTAGTCGTCAACGTTTCAAGGATCGACAGTCGACGTCGTCGTCGGTTTTGGCCAAGCTCTCGTGTCCCGGTCCGAGAGGCTCGTCCATCCGATACGCTGGAGTCTTCGGTTCCGCGATTAACGTACATGGAGCGAGGCTAGAAGGAGGAGTACTACTGTATCGTTCCACCGGTGCGGTCCTCCCTCCGCGGTGGGTATGACACGTACCCAATTGGGGAACATACCGTTCCTCGACGCGCAGCATCTTGTGGCGTTGAGCCTCGTGTTTATGACCGACGTACATTTTCCATCCTCATATCCCGGCTGTTTCGCCACCAGCACAGAACGGGTGAGTGATTGAACGAGTGCGATTTACCGTGGCCATCATGAACGGCATGCATATGGGCGCGGAGAGAAGATGTCAAGTTGTGGTCGGGGTGAGGGAAGTTCGGATCGGGCGGTCAGTTGCCACATTGGGAAGAGCAACGGGGCTGTCGGGTGACGTAGTGTGGAGTGGGCGTGTCTCTTGTGTCCTGGCGCCGGTGTCACACAGAGCTTCGGGTTTTGTCTCCTGGCTCGTGTGCATCCGTCCTCGGCGTCGCATACCGTCTGTACCAGCTCGTTCGCGCACCGGGACCACAGCGTGCAGATCAGTGCACACGAGAGATAGCCGGCGCACAGCTGCCCATCACGGAGGGGAAACGGCGCAGCGGGCCCGAGGAGGAGGCGTATAAAGTGCGAGAGTCGGAGAGGGAATTCCCCTTGTGCAGGCACACCGTTACGTCGGCCTCGATCGATCGTGGAACGCGGCTGGCAGCTCGCCCCATTGCGACGTCAACGACGCTTTCTTCCCTTCATATCCTTGCATCCGCCTCTCACCGCAGTCCTTCCTTACTTCATACCCCCGCCCCCCAGGGCCCTCCACTGCCAGCGCGCTCGCGACAAGTAACGACCCGTAATGTGCGTCCGGCCCGTGTCTCGCGTCCTGCTCGCTGTCTTATCGCTCATCGCACCGTCCGCAGGTCTTCCTCCAGTAGCCTCTCCAGTGCTACCACCGCGTCGACCTCGACGTTCGTCACCGCCCTCGTCTTCAACTTGGCGGTGTTCGGTATCGAGCTCGGCATCTTCACCCTCGTCCGTCCTTTCTTCCCAGCTATCTATCAACCCAGAACATACATACCCCCCAAGAGGTGAGTTTTTTTTTGTTTGCGCGGCTTGGATGGGTTGGCGTCGGGCCAGCGTGGCAGCAGGCGGGAGGGAACGGGGCGCGGCGATGAATGGTGGGCGTGGGTCGTCGCACTCTTACCCGGAGATCGTGAGGCATCGAAGTTGCCGCATATATGCGCGTTCGAACGACGGGAAGTGGTCCGCGGTCCGGCGGACACAGGAGCGGTGTACGTTACCTTGTCTGCCGAGGTTAACTGTTCCTTATCCGCGACGCTGCCGCCGAGGTCGACTGTGACTTCCAGTGGTCCCGCCCGCCTCGTAGCCACTCGACGGTGCTACGACCGCGTCAATCCAGGAAACTCTTGCAAGTGACCTCGACCGGGCCCGGGCCTGCTCGAGCCTGACGTCACGTCCACCGTGCGGCGGACTTGGTCGCGGATAGATTCCCGTCTTCGTGCATATATGCGCTTGACAGGCCCAGCGGCGCGATGTCCGTGTCTCAACGCGCAAGTGCTGACAACCTCCTCTCTTCAGCCGCCGCGCAGCAGCGCTCACAAAGAATATCCTACTATGGCCGTACTCGGTCTTCATGGCGGACTACCATGAGATCCGGGAGAAGAACGGTATGGATGCGTACTTCTTCGTCCGCTTCCTCCGCATGATCGTCCGGATCCTGCTTCCTATCTGGCTGCTTTCGTGGATTGTCCTCCTCCCTGTCACCTCCGTTGGCACGTCTGTCAGCCAACACTCCGGTCTTGACCGCTTCATCTTCGGCAATGTCGCCCCCGACAAGCAGACCCGCTATGCGGCGCACATCATCTTCGCGTGGTTATCCACGATCTGGATCTGGTGGAACATACGCCATGAGATGAAGCACTTTGTCACCGCCCGCCAGCGGTGGCTCATGGACCCCAGGAACTCCTCGTCGCCGCAAGCGAGCACCGTGCTCATTACCGGCGTTCCCCGCCGCTACCTCACCGAGTCCGCTCTGTCCAACGTCTTCTCCCACCTTCCCGGCGGCGTTGCCAAGGTCTGGCTGAACCGTGACCTCAAAGAGATGCCGGACCTCTACGAGCGTCGCCTGAAGGCCGCGAAGAAGCTCGAATCTGCCGAGACGAGCCTCATCAATACCGCTGTCAAGCTCCACAACAAGAAGCTTAAGGCCGAGGCCAAGGCAGCGAAGAAGGACAAACGCGGATCCGTCGATACCGCTAATAACGACGGTCGCCCGCTCACGGATCCCAGCATCGTCGACGTCGAACGAGGTGACGTCGCGCTTGCTGAGAAGCTCGTCCCCAAGAACAAGCGCCCTACGCACCGTCTTCCGCCGGTCGGCTTCCTGCCGTTCGGCCTTCCGTTCATGGGCAAGAAGGTGGACTCGATCGAGTGGGCACGACAGGAGATCAAGGAGACCAACGACGCTCTGAGGAATGCCCGCCGCACGCTTGCGCGCGACGTCGCCAACTCGTCCAACCTCCCCGAGCCCCAGACGAACCATCCCGATGCGCTCAAGGCCGACCCCGCCACGTCGCAGACGTACCCTCCGCTCAACTCCGCATTCGTCCTCTTCAACCAACAGATCGCCGCGCACATGGCTGCTCAGGTCCTCACGCACCATATGCCCTACCGGATGCAGTCAATGGGTGTCGGCGTCTCTCCGGACGATGTAATCTGGAGCAACCTGAACATGAACCCGTACGAGGCTCGCGTCAGGACTGCCGTCTCCTGGTGCATCACGATCGGTCTCATCATCGTTTGGGCTATTCCTGGTGCGTGCCACGCATATAGGCGTGCATTTTCGATAGCCTAGCTGACACCCCTCCTTTACAGTTGCATTCATCGGTGTGGTGTCCAACGTGCATTCGCTTTGCGCCACTTACAGCTGGCTCGCATGGCTGTGCGACCTGCCCGCCGTCATTGTCGGCATCATCTCCGGTATTCTCCCCCCGGCGTTGCTCGCTATCCTCATGATGCTGCTCCCGATCATCCTACGCCTCCTTGCGCGCTTCGAGGGTATGCCGCAGCGTAAGACTATCGAGTTGAGCTTGATGACTCGGTACTTCATGTTCCAGGTCATCGTGAGTAACTCATTCACCATACCCAGTCGGGTCGAAGCTAACGAACGCCTTTTCAGAACTCGTTCTTGGTCGTCACCCTTTCGTCCGGTATCATCGCAGCCCTTCCTGACCTCGTGAACAACCCCGGATCCATCCCATCCCTCCTCGCTCAGAACTTGCCCAAGGCGTCGACGTTCTTCCTTACCTACGTGATCCTACAGGGTCTCTCGGGTACGGCGGCT